TACTAAATTCACCACTTGCCATCAAGAAGAACTAAGCTAGTGAAGATGAGGTAAAAACATATAAAAGACAATCTCAATGTAGTTACCTGTCTGAAGAATAATTTTTCCTCCAACTCAATAATTGGAATTTGGAAGCCTCTTTGCTTTATAGCCTTCCTGCCAGATGGGTGTGAAGATTATTAGGTGATGATAAATGACAAAATAGGCTGACAAAGCCATGACTCCCACACCAGCAACGATTCAAAAACTTCAATCACCCTCCTCAGTCCTCACCATTTTACCTTGACTTTTAAACCAGTTTAACTTCGTGAAAACAAAAGCAGATTAGTGAATGGTGCAAATGAATACCAACCTTGTACATTAGCAGAAAGCTGCATCTTCAGATTGGAAATCAAGTGACTCCAGCTGCTTAATCAATTGAGTTAAGCACTCATAGATCAGTGCAGTTTGAGGGTGCGATCTATCCCTTACGATAAACTCATAAAGAATGCCACTAACTTCAACGCAACTACTCCCAGGGATCTTCTCCACTCTTCTTTCCTGCATCATTTTCATCACTTTTCTGCCCTCTTCAAACATATTTTCCTCTCTATACATGGTTGCCAGCAGCACATAAATCCCACTGTCGTGGGGATCCAGCTCGAGGAGCTTTGAAGCTGCCCTTTCAGCTATGACAATATTTCCATGATGAATTCTACAAGCAAAAAACAGTGCACCCCACACTGCAGCATCTGCCTCCATCGGCATGCTCTCAATAAAATCTAGTGCTTCTTTCAGTAAACCAGCCCTACCGAGAAGATCCACCATGCAAGAGTAGTGTTTGAGCTGAGGACGGAGACTGAATTTGGACGTCATTTGGTCGAAATACTCACGGCCTGCATCCACCAACCCACCATGGCAACAAGCAGATAGTACACCAATGAAGGTGATTTCGTCCGGCATCAAACCAGCATCGAGCATCTTCAGGAAGTAGGATATGGCATCAAGTGCATGTCCATGGAAAGCTAGACCACAAATGAGAGCTGTCCAAGTCATGGTGTTTCTCCCTGGCATGATATGAAAAACATCAATAGCCTTTGGGAGGTTCCCGCACTTTGCATACATGTCAACTAAAGCTGTCGCTAAAGCAACATCTAAAGGAAGCTGGTGCTTTTCAATGTACCGATGAATCCACATTCCAGTATCGAGTGCGCCAAGCTGTGAACAAGCACATAAACAATGAACCATGGTCACCTTATCCGGGTGTATATCGCTACCTTGCATTTCATGAAACAAAATCAACACCTCCTTGCCACGCTTGGCTTGGACATAACTTCCCATAATAGCATTCCAAGAGACAACATTCTTTTCTGGCATAGCGTAAAAAATCTCTCTCGCTGTCTCCAAAAATCCACATTTTGCGTATCCAACAATCATTGTAGTCCATGATATAACAGTTTTCTCTTTCGACTTCACAAACAGAGCTCTTGCAGCGGCAAGATCACCACACTTCACATACATATCCAGAAGTGCATTTGTGAGGGGAACCGTTAATCTCAATCCGTTTTCTTCAACATAACCATGAAATCCTCTTCCCAGTTTCAGATCCCCCAACTGTACACAAGCTAGAAGGAGCCCAACCATCGTCACCTCATCTGGCTTCACCTGCTCCTCCACCATCTCCTTAAAAACACTCATCGCCTCCCTGGCCTTCCCCTTCTTAGCATACCCATTAATCAGCGAATTCCAAGAAACCAAATCTCTCACGCGACCTTCATCGAACACCTGGCGTGCATACCCCAACTCCCCAACAGAAGCAAACATGTGAATCGTCGCATTGTGCACGACAACAACCCCATCAAACCCGAACTTCAACACATGCCCGAGAATCTCAAGACCCAAATAATCCAATCCCAACCCAGCGCAAGCATTCAACAGCAACGGGTAAGTATAACTGTCAGGCCTGAACCCGCGACCCAGCATTCTCTTGTACAGAACAAATGCCTTCTCAGGCCTCCCGCTCTCTACACATCCCCGAGCCGCGAAATTCCACGAGAACGCATTTGGCTCCTCGATCGAATCCAGAATCGAGATGCAGTAATCGATGTCCCTCCATTGCGACATCGCGCAGAACGCGATCAAACGACTGGACGCCTGCCCGTCTGCGATCCACCCTGTGAGAAACATCTGAGACTGAATCTGCTTCAACTGGGAGATCGATTTGCATTTCTCGAGCAGATGGAGAATCGGATTTGAAAGGACGAACGCAGGGATTGTGCTCCTGGATGACTGATTCTCATTTCGTAGAGCAGAGTTCGCTCGAGATTGGAGTTGAGAAGAAGGAGAAGAAGGGGTCGGGATAAAATCTTGAGTTTTCCTTACGCTTCTTCTGTATCGGATTAACATCGGGAAATTGCTCGGCGGAGTTCAGGGGAAAAGTTGGATTAACACCGAATCAGCGCTCGAAAGATTGAAGCATGGTGGTAAAATAAGGCGGGAAATCATTTCCTGCGGAGAACTGTTATTTGGGCCGGAAGGGATGGGACTGTGGGCCTCTCTTTTTGGGCCGGGAATTAGATAAATCTTCAATTATTAATTAGCTTCGTAATTACAAATTTAGTTGAATGAAAAGTGAAAACCCTAAGGTCCTGTTCATTTTCATTTTCGTTTCCAGTTTTCTGTTTTCATGTGATAAATTTGGCAACCGAAATGAGAAAACTTGTTTACTTTTCATTCTGATTTCTATTCATTTCCAACTATGAAAACAGAAAGTGGCAACTTCCTGCTGTTTTCGGAAACGACAAAATGTTGTTTTCACCTGTTTTCAACATCTGTTTTCTAAAAAACAGAAAACAAAAATGAAAGTAAACATGCCCTAAGCTTTATGTTACATTGCATCCCAACAAGATGTCCAAGTCCAACAAACGACTGAAAATTTCCGTCGGCGATCAACCGGCGGCGACGTCGACGCTGTCGAGCACAAAACTCCCGGCCGACCTCGTGATCGAAATCTTCAAGAAGCATCCCGCCGCATTGGCTCTGGCCCGGTTCCGGTGCGTATGCAGATCATGGCGCGATCTTCTCTCCGACCCGGCTTTCCTCCGTCAGATCCTCGTCACAGAGCAGGATTCCGATGACAGCCGTCAGATCATAATCTTCCGTCTGACCGGCGATAGAGAACCTATCTTCTCTCCCTGCTCGTACGACACTCTTCTTCCCTTATCCGCCGATCCACCGCGACCGGTCGTCCTCCCCAGCACCAGAGGCGTGGGATATAACAGTTGTCGCATTGTGGGCTACGACAATGGCATCTTTTGTTTGAGTAACAGGACACAAGAACCCAACGGTACGATCTTATTACGATTTTACCATATTTTTGCTCAACGAGCCAAACTTGAGCTAGACCTTAGTCTACTACTCACGCTCGTGAGCTAGCTTTATTCGATGAATTGGGTTGAGTGTAGCATGCTAAGCCTGCTTGATTTGGTGGTTCGTTAAGCTCAGCTCGATCTAGAGCTATTTAATATTGTAAATTCATTCAGTTTCGCTTTTATGTGTTGGATTTTTTGCTAGGAATCTACTATACAATAGGCCTGGGAAAACAGACCAGACCGTTAGAAAAACCGTGGTCCAAACAGTACCGTACAGTTTGGTCTGGACTGTAGACCGTTAAGTATGGTCTGTATTATTTTATGTTTTGATCTCTTGGTCTGGTCTAGTCTAGACCGCGATTTACCGGACCAAACCGTGGACCCAACCGACTTGTCAATACGTGCTGACAGCTCATTTGACCACTCTCCCAACTCCCACAACGACACCCAAGTCTCAACCTTAATTTTGTGAATCTCGTCTCTCCTTCATTCACAACCACATTTAACGAGAGAGTAGAGATAATCATGTGTCAATATGACATTATGTTAATGTTTTATGACGCTATGGTGCAAGTTGGGATGCTTTTACTTTAAATCTTTGTTATGTACTAAGAATTAGGGTACCAAAATTATTCATGCATGTTAGGATTAATGTTTTAAGGCAAATAGCAATTATTTTTCTTGGTTATTGGTTTAATTTTTTGTGTGATTGACTAAACAAATTGTTCATTTTTCGTTGAGTGTGGTCTATCTAGACCAGACCAGACCGAACCAAACCGCACAGGCGTGGTCTGGACCGAACCGTATAGTCTGTGGTCTATACTTCAGCCTCTCGGTTTGGACCATAGACAGTATATATGGTCTAATCTAGATCGACCAGACCGCACCGTTTCTCAGTACTACTATACAATGTTTTAGCAAAATAATAGTTCAATCAAGCTTATATATGAGTCAAACTCTTTCCTGCTAGGAATCTATTATACAATGTTTTAGTCTAATTAGATTAATATACTAGTTACGAAATAGGGGAACTTTATTTAATTACGTACTTAATTTTCAGGTATCCATCTATACAACCCGGCCACCTCGGAGACGAAAGCACTTCCACCTTCCCCATTTACCTCGCCGGAACGTCGCCACAGCTTGTTCTGCGGCCCGATGTTTGGTTTCGACCCGACAACGAATGACTACAAGCTCGTCAGGCTGAAAAAGGCCGGAAAACGGAGGGCTGGCGAGGGGGCCATCGTCCGTTTCGCCGAAGTGTACAGCCTGAGGCGTGATTAGTGGAGCAAGGTCGAGACCTGCGGCGGCGTGGACCTGATCTCCCGGTTCATGACCAACACAGCAATCCCGATTCCCGAGTGCCACGACGGGAAATGCTACCGTTGGAATCGAGAATATTGTTGTAGCCGGATGACGAAAGTGCTCTCTTTCGACCTAGCAAAGGAAGCGTTCGAGGTGGTCGACGTTTTGGATCCGGCGGCGGAGGACGACGGGACCATGTTTCCTCTGCACATCACCTTCTCGAGAGGCTCGATGGTGGCGGTCTTCTCGTCCCTCCGTGATGATATGGGTGCCGAGCTTCAAGTGTGGATGATGTTGAAGTATGGAGTGGCGGCTTCGTGGGTGAAGTTGTATGAGGTTCCTCGTGACGAGGATTACTACATGCCGTATCGTTGTCTGGGGATGTGGAAGGGATGGAAGTGTGTGTTTGTGAGGAGGAGGAAGAAGAAGGAGGTCGGGAGATCGTGTTTCGGAGGAGAGGTTGTTGTGTTCGATCCTCGAACTCGAGACGTCGTTGATTTCGGGGTTCGAGCTTATAGGAAGGATGTCAGGATCGTATGGAATTATGTTTTTTTTTTATAATGGTGAAATTTTATTAAACTAAGGAAATAAACTGTACACAAGGAGAACCGGATCAAGAGACATGATCCAGGAGAAAAAGAAAAAAGAAACAAAATCAAAGGAAGAAAAACTTCAAACAGATCAGAAAGAGGTAAGACGCACAGCCAAGATGACAGCGAACCAAGGCCGACTCATTTGTACTCGAATACCAGAAAAAACTGAAACGCCCCAACAGGGGCCGACCTCCGCACAAACAAACACCCCAAAACCCCCTCTAACTCTGATGACAACCTACTAACATACCAGCCAGGGGAAGAAAAATCATCACTCCCGCCGCGTCTAACAACGTCGACAGCCAAGTCCTCGCGCAGCAAAACAAACCCCGACTCTCGACCACAGCAAACCGTGTCCTCCCCTGAACCAGCAAGCGGAAAGCGCGGGAAATCGACAACCACAGAATCCACCCAGCTCAATAATTATACTAATCCCTTTTCTATCAGCCATCTCCTCCCCTCTGCTTTCTGCGCCTTACCATGTACCACAATCCATTCGATTGCCTTCCTCGCTGCCCTTTTCCCCACCACCGACCAGCAGGTTTCTTTGTCTTCGAATGTCCTCTGATTCCTCTCGAGCCACACAGCCCACCAAATGGAATGAAGAATACATCCATCAAACCACTTCTCAATTCCGTCTCCGTCAGCAGTAACCCAATTTGCTAGAACTTGGGCAATCTCCCCATTCCAACTCGGTGTCCTACTCCTCCTGCCATACATCATAATCCAGATACTCCTCACGAAATCACATTCCACAAGCATGTGCTCAACATTCTCCTCATCCTTCTTGCATAAAACACATTTGTTAGCCAAGGACAGGCCTCTTCTCTTTAAGTTGTCGAGAGTTAGCACTCTATTATGGTAGACGAGCCAAGTGAAGAAGCAGATTTTACTCAGAATCCACGAAATCCACACAATCTTCGCAGGAAACTCTTCGATCTCTCTTGAGTGACTGCCGAACAGCTCCATATAAAGCGATTTCACCGAGAAAATATAGTTTGCCTCTTGTTTCCAAAAGACCCTGCACGGACTATGAGAAGAAAGCGCCAAATTCAACGAGTTTAAAATATTTAAAAGATTATCTCTCTCCCTCGCTGCCCCCCCCCCCCTCAAATTATACTTGAAATCAAAATTCCAACTCACTAACTCACCCTGGGTATTAGCAATGTCAGAGAGCCGGGCTTCAGGGTCAAGGACAGCAGCAGCGACGCGCGGAAACGAAGCAGCCAGCACTATCCCCGGGATCCAACAATCGTACCAGAAGGAGACTTGAGTACCATTACCCGGATCAATAGCAGCAAAGTTCCAAAACAAATCATATTCTTTACTGATGTTGGCCCAAACCGACCTGGAGAACCCGAGCCTTTCCCTCTTAGTCTGCCAACACGATAAATCATTCGGATATTTGGAGTTGATCAAAACTCGCCACCAGCTGTCTCTTTCAGTAGCGAATCTCCATAACCATTTCGATAGCAAAGCGTCGTTGAATGTCACTAAGTCGTGGATGCCCAGACCTCCCTTCTTCACAGGCGATTTACACCACTCCCAATCTATCAAGGCCATCTTGTTACCCTCCCAGGATCGTATGGAATTATGTTCCTAATCGAGTTTCGGTTGTGGGTTTTGCTGACACAAATTGATCGAACGTTTGTGATTGTATTGGGATGTGATTTTCGTTATCCAGGTCGGGTTTTTTCTCTCTCGTTTGGTTGAACTACGGAGCGTACGTATTGTTGCGTGTATATAGGGGTTCAGGGCCGTCCCTGAAGTTCTCGAGGCCCTGTTCCAAAAACAAATTGTGACCCAATTTTTTCTAACAAATTTAATAAATACAATTATTACATCGTCATTTAAAAAATAACATCCTTCTAGGATTTTTTGAAATAAAACTATCTATGAGTTCTTCAATCTTCGTATTCTCCAGTAATTCGTTCTCAATTGCGATCATAGCCAATCCATTGAGCCTTTCTTGTGTCATTGTAGAGCGCAAATAAGTAAAAAAGAATCTTGTAATAACTTGAGCTCATTATATAAATCATTGCCATCGATATCAGATTGCTCATTATTCTTAAGAACTTTTTCAATATGCACGCACAAAGATTTTAAAGATGTGAAATTCAAAGAATACAACTTCATGTGAGGCATATAGTTCAAAAAGATTGGTACAAAAATCGTATTGTGCTTGCTAGCTCCCTCTCATTCCTTTGTTATCCAATTAGGGATATCACATGGTCTGGTTTGATACTGATTTTGGACAATTTCACAATACGAAATTAAGAATATGGATCCTCAAAGATAAAATCATTATAATGAGGAAATCCTGATTGGATACGTTTGTCAATATGAAAAATTATAGGGGTCACATGTCAAATTATCATAGGTAAACTAAATAACACTAGGATATAAAGTGGTTTCCCTGATTGCCATGACTAGTCCACGAGAGAGATATAACTCTCCAATGCAAATTCTGGTTTACGTTACTCCGTACAGCACAAAAGTTATACATATATACAGGTTCACCTAGTACAACCCTATACAAAAAGTCGAATTAGCTTATTACAAATTGGTACCCCAATTATCATATTTTAACACCCTCCCTCAAATCGATGTTGGGTGCATAACATCAATTTGGATGACAAGTACCAATATCTGCTTGAAGTCATTGCCTTGGTCAAGAGATATGTTGTCTGATCTTCAATAGACAATAACAACCTGAATTGTGCCCTCTACGACCAATTGACGAAAAAAAGTGAACATGTATCTTAATATGTTTCGTTCTACAATATAACACCGACTGATGGCAATCTTAATTGCACTAGTGCTATCACCATAGATCCTCACAGGTGCTCCACACACAACACTCAATTCTCCAAGTAGTCACTACAACTAGACCATATCTAAACTTACCTAAGACATGGATCGATACTCTTCCTTAGTAGAAGATTTCGACACACGATCATGTTTTTGACAACTATAGGAAACAAAGGATCCACCTATGCGAACACACCATCCTGAAGTATATTGGTGTGTATCTTTGCAACCAACATAGTCAACATCACCAAATGCTTCAATTACCGGCTCCCCTGTTGATGTAAAAAGTATCACTACATCATAAGTTTGCTTCCAGTATCGCAATAGCCTATGAATTGTAGCCAAATGCATTATTCTGTCATGCCCATATATTGGCTTACCACTTGAACTGCATAGGCAATGTTTGGACGAGTATGCGTTAGATAAATCAAACTGCAAGTCGAAATATGGTAGGTCGACTGATCCTCTAACAAGTCGCCACTTTCTTAATGCAATATCAGGTTTTGCTCCATGGGAGTCGAACATGGAGTGCATTCACTATACTGTTCAGCCACTAGCAAATCTATAATGTACTTCTTTTGGGAGATAAATAATCCATAAGCTGATTGTTGTACTTGTAACCTGAGGAAATAATCCACACCCAACTCCTTGATGTTGAACGAACAACGCAGTGTTGTTTTCAACTCCTTAAACCTTAATTAATCCCATGTGCATCACTGCTCGTCACCAACATATCATCTACATATATATATGCAAGAAGACAATTCCATCTAGTGTAGGACGAATGAAATGGAGGGATCATTCTGACTCTGGACAACCCCTTCATAAACATTGGTATTGTGGAACTTTCCGAACCAAGCACGAGATGCTTGGTTCAGTCCATACAACGATCAAACAAGCTTACAAACCATGCCTGGGTGTCCCTTTGTATAACCTGGAAGTCGTTCTATATATATAGTCTCCTTCATATCGCCATGAAGAAATGCATTTTTCACATCCAACCGAATTAAGGACAACCCTCTCATTTCAACTACAACAAAGACACAACGGACAATTTGCTTTTTAACCACGAGAGTAAGGTCTCCTCATAGTAAATACCATATCATAGTAAATGCATCTTTATTGTAAAATACCCAATGGCTACCAATAACCGGTAAGTCTGGTTCCCTATAGACAAGATCCCATGTTTGATTTGCTTCCAGTTCTCCCATCTTGTCTGCATGACACCTTCAAAACGGGGATCTCCATGTGCTTCTGTGCAACTGGAAGGAATTCATGATCGGGGTGGTCGCAAACCCCACATAATCCAACATACAAGTGGGAGGTTTCCCTAGAGTCAACCTAATTGATCTTCATCGAGGAACCATAGCTTGAGCAGGTAGTGAAGAGCCATCATGTTCCTCGATCGGAAATATGTGACCCACTAGATGATGATCCCGAGATATAAGATCTACCTGAGCTGCTTGAGCTCGATGATGAAGGCAAGCTGGCTCCCAACAAAGATGATGAAGCGGATGAGGAAGGAATGAAAGTAGGAGTCCATACCGAGGGAGATAAGGAGGTGTCATGTGACCTTTCTTCACTATATGTATCTACATGTGGTGCATACATCACATTGGGTCCAAAAGAAGGAAAAGGAGCTAGAAAATCCAATGAATCATTTGATGATAACTCGTACAGGTTAATTGAATAATACATAACATGTTCCGAAAAGACGACATGACATGCGATCCTCATATGGAGATCCACAATATCATAAAATAAGTAGCCCTTTATGCTTATCATTGTATCCTACAAACACACATCTAGTTGTCTTTGGTTCTAACCTATGATGCTCCTTAGAGGGAAGTAGTACAAAAAATACACATCTGAAGACTCTCAAAGTAGAATACTCTGGTGGCTTGCCAAATAAGGTCCGCTATGGTGAAAATGGTCCCTACAAATGTGCAATTTTCCTGTTGATTAAGTACACTGCATTGTAAACCGCTTTACCCCAAAAAATGATTTGGGACTAAAGAGTGGCGGAGGAGTTCACGAGTCAATTCTAGAACATGTCGATGTTTGCGTTCTACTAGCCCATTCCACTGAGATACTCTTGGATAGGACTGTTGAGACAAAATCCCTTCTGTTTTGTACAACGAAAGCAATTCAATAGCTGAAAATTCTCCACCTAGGTCAGAATGAAGAATTTTAATGGTCTTGTCAAATTGGGTTTTGACCATTTGAACAAAATATTTCACCAACGATGCTAAACCGAATCTATGCTTTTGAAAAAAGACCCATGAGAATTGTGTCGTGTGATTTATAAATAAAGCAAAATGCCAATATCCCAAACCGAATTGTAACCGGTGAAGGACCCCGCAAATTTGTATGTACCAAGTCAAACGAATGTTCATACACTGTATCATTGGACGAGAACGATATTTAAGAAGCTTTTGCCTCTATGGAGCAAACACTGTGAATGAAAAGCAAATGCAATATCAAATTTTATCTTCAATTGTGGTTATCTCGTAGTCAATCAGAGACGCACGAATGAGATCATACTCATGACGCAACTTAGATAGAAATTGCACAACATGAGTGTTGCTGGCTCTTTAATAACTGCCTTTGAATTTGAACGAGTAACAAGAGAAGCTGTTAGCAAATATATCTGGTCCATAAATGGAAAGTTTCCTAATAATACCCATGAATATCACGATCTCCTTGAGCTAAGCGATTGATCACCAGATCGAGTTCAAACCGACGAGAAACGCTATTATGAGAATGAGTAGCTAAGATATGCTTCCACAAATATGTTGTAGTAGTAAATTGGCGAAAGCCAAAGGCTTGGGAACGTCAATACTCCATATCGACCATGTAACCATGTGTGTTAGTTGTTGCCTTTGTCTCTCTTGTCAAGACGTCCAGAAGGCGCTTCCGAGCAACAAAGTTTCAAAATTAAAACTCCCATAATTGAATTGCTAATTTATTTCGCGTCTCGTGCCTCATAAGCATGCACCTGGTAGCTACCTTGTTATGCACACAAGCGAGAAAAAGATGTGACAAATGGAGATGGTGGTGTGATTCAGTGAATTTATGTACTAAAGTTAGGTGTTGTGCATTTGCATTATCATATCACATATGTATATTATCAATCAATTAAGCTCTTTTGGCCTTCGTCATAGTTACAACTTTAATTTCTTTATGTTTCTTCGATTACAAAGTCTACCGTATATGATATGCTCTTAATTATTCATAATATAATTCAAAGACTTCCAAAAGGTTTCAAGATATGCATATACATAGCAGATTGCCGAACTAGTAACAGAGGAAGTTCAAGATGAAATGTTAATAAAATTTACGTAATGTGATATGACAACTCATTAAATAAGTTAAACAATAATTTTTACAGCGCGTGCAATAAAATAAGTATCCTTCTAACAGAACAATAAGTTCCTTGCTCAATTCATCCATTTCCATTCCATTTTTTCTTGTTCATGGCTTGCTCGATCCTATTTCTTCTGCTTTTGTGGGGTTTAATAGAGAAATGTATTTATCAATCAACAAATAGATAAGAGATTTTTTGTGAGTGACATAGTGGAACTGTTTTGAAAATATTGCGTGTTCTATTTATCTGTAACTCGCAAATCTTTATAACATATTGTTGTTATACTTTTATAGTGAAGAAATACTCTGAAACGATTATTCTCGTATTAGTAAAAAAGAGAAGGAAAAAAAAATATTATTGAGGGTAGCCGCGGTGGGTGAACTTCCAACCAATTGAATTAATAAATTTGTTCCCTCCTTATTTAGCTATAAATGGATCTCGTTTATCAATTGAGTTCAATCCGTCTCA